TAAGCATGTTTTGACGGAATTTTGTTCTCTGTGATACTTGCTTTTCTGTACATATATGGATGTTTGCAAATTGGTCACTCTCCATGGGTGTGTCAAATTGACCTTTATTCTTTACTTATTTCTGGCACCGAGATATTAATTTTCGAATTTTCAATCATATGAAAGGTTTCTCACTAACATCTGTTGTGTTATGTTTCTACTGCATAGGTTCTTCTACGTAGATTTCAGATAACTCACAATCTCTCACTAGATGGAGTTCTAGACTTCTTAAACTCAAAGAAGATGACGGATGCTGGCCCACTGGACTTGATTGATGATGATAACAGTGATACGGAAGAAGGTGTTGAGAAACAAACCCGAGGAGACTTAGGTTATGATTTACCAGGATCCATGCCCAATCGTGGGAGGCCTATTATTAGAACAAAATGCCTTAGAATTGCACCAACTGGAAGGAGCTTTGCAGCAGCAACAACAGAGGGAGTTCTAGTTTATTCAATTGATGAATCTTTTATCTTCGATCCCACTGATCTTGACATGGATGTTACACCTGAGGTATCTTTTCTCCCTCTCTCTAAACATGTCTAAGCCTTAGTTTTCTACCCAATAAAACTGTTGCTTTTGATAAATTAATAGGAAAAGGAACTCAAAGGAGAAAGATAATAACTAGTTTTCCTTCCTCTGTTTTAAGATATGGCTCAGTGTGCATTTGAAGATACGGCTCACTGACCTTTAACATAGTTCCTTCATTGATTTAAATTTATTTATTGTTGTGAATACATTCTTGTATAGGCCATTGATGCAGCACTAAATGAAGATCAACCAAATAGGGCTTTGATTCTTAGCCTGCGTTTAAATGAAGATGCTCTTATAAAAAAATGCATTTTTGCTGTTGCTCCGGTTGATATTCCAGCAGTTGTCTCATCAATTCCTTTAAAGTATTTGCAAAGGCTGGTGGAAGCCTTAGCTGATCTCCTAGAAAGCTGCCCACATTTGGAGTTCATCCTTTGTTGGTGTCAGGTACTCCCTGTTGGCAATTGCAACCTGCTTGGTTCAAATTAAATCTAGGTTCAAATAATCACTGTTCTGGTATTAGTTCTTAGATTGGCTGTGACTGTTTATTGCAGGAACTATGCAAAGCTCATGGTAGCTCCATTCAGCAGAATTCCAGAAATCTTCTTCCTTCTTTGAAATCCTTGCAGAAGGCAATTACTAGAATCCATCAGGACTTGGCAGCTATGTGTTCTTCCAATGAATATATGCTTCGATATTTATGCTCCATGAACATAAAAAACTAATGGAGAATACAGCTAGTTGGAAATTTGTAAAATATGATGAGGAAGAAAATATATTCTCAGTTACCTCTTGTAGCGTGGACCCAGATTTTGCACTTAAGCTAAAGTGGTTGTGAGAAGCTTTGGTGCTTTTGCGTGCTGAAGATTTTGCTATATATTCAGTGCACCATCAATACTTCCGAAGTAGATATAGCATTTTCTGGTCCATGGTTCAAATGCGGTAGTCTTGTAGTGTCTCGAGTTTTCTGCTTGCAAATTCAGAGCCCTTGGAGAGATTTGATTGTAATTTGCTATTTTTTGATAAAAATTCTTTTGTAAGCCGAAAACAAAGCAATTTGATGGAAATTTTGATTTTACTTCTTTTATCATTGTTCTCTCAGGACTTTAATATGTTTATTTAACTGGGAGTCTGGCGGTGATTATTCTTATGACATGCTAAT